TGTTCATTATCTTCAATTTTCTGGAAAAAGGAATCGTGAAAAGCAACTAGATAAGAAATTAATACAGTAATCTTTCTCTCTTAAATAAAAACTTTCAATTAACTAGTTTGCTTTAAAACCCCTCATACTGTTTTTACTTAAAAACAGTTCTAACACTAAGAAGGATTTCTTTACATCCCAAATGGCCCATAGCAGTATAGCTTTTAATTACAAAACTCACACTCCACGTTTAATTACAACTTCAGCACAGGTACTATATATATATATTTTTTTAACCTCACCTGAGGACATTTTTCCATTTTTTGTTCAGATAGAGCGGGAGGCAGAGAGAGAAAGAGAGAGAGAGAGAAACATCGATATGAAGGGACACATCGAGTGGCTGCCACCCGCACGACCAACCAGGGCCGGGGACAAACTGCAACCGAGGTACGTGCCCTTAGCGGGAACCGAACCCGGGTCTCTGTACCGCAGGCCGACGCTCCAACCGCTGAGCCAAACCGCTCCAACCGCTGATCACAAAAGATCACTTCAATCTTTGAGTTTTTCTATAGCTTGTATAGGTCGGTCTTTGAATTTACTGTAATTCTAGCTTCCTCAAATAATAAAATGCTACTAAGAACTTTAAACTAATTGAAAAACTACAACGTATAAATTATATGTAGAGATTTTTCCTTTTTAATAGTTCTCATCAGTTCACTAAGAAAATTTATAGCTAAAAGTAAATGAGATAGTCCTTCCTTAACTAAAATGTATAAAATTACTTCTGTGCATTCATTTGTATCAACTTTTTTAAAGCAATACACTTTGATGTTATTTTTAGATCTACATTTTTTTCTGGTATTAAACCACACAGTACCAGAGTGTTATAGTTCCAGGAATGGCAGTGTGAAAAATGATATTTTCACACAGATAAAAATGACAGTTTTAAACAGTAAGCCAAGCCTTACATCATGACATGAACAGAGATACTGACAAGGTTAGACTGCACTGTCCCCTAAGGTCAACAGGATTTACGTTTATATTCATGTTACATAAATCCCTTTATAAGGTTTCAAAAACAATACTTATGAAAAGCATTCACAATGTGATGATGAAAGCCATTTTAAATTGTATAAATTAGTTATTTTACTAAAAATACAAGTATATAGTAAACAATGACTGGAATTAGAAGGAGCTGGGAATTAAGCCAATACAACTATGTTTTTTAATCTCTAAGAATTAAAAAATAAAAAAGCTAGTCAATATTTTTCAGTGAAAAAACACAAATATATTTGTGTTTGAGCAGAGAATATCTGTGCCAAGTTTAGCCTACTCTGAATATAAATGGCTAGATTTGTAACAAGGTATAAAACTATACTTAATAAGTAAAAGAAAACCACCTACTTACAATATATTACAACGTGATTCTGAGTCTATTTCAAGAATGTTGGTCTGACTGAAACTTCTTCCAAACTTATTCCTAATTCTAGACATAAAAATGAATCTTTTTCTGTGAAAGATGATGCCACATTCCCTTTGACTATCTTACTCATACGTTTTGTTGTCACTGCTGGTTTTCAGCAGGGGTGGGGTTGTTTTTGGAAAAAAAAAAAACTTATAATGAATATTAAGGTATAGGGTATAAGATACAATTTAATTATATTTAAACAGCAAATTGATGCTTGTATCAATTTTTTTTTTTATCATTTTAAATAATTCACAAGTGAACAATGCTCACTTTGGTGCTCTGAATATTCTACATCTATTTAGTCTCTAAAGATCAAACTCCAAGAGTCCATAGTTCAGAGAAACACATGCTTTACAGGAGCTGTGATGTGGTTGCTTAATGCAGATTGGAACAAAAAGCACTGAAATCATCACATTTTGGAGATGGGGCATAAATTATTCTTATTCATAGAGCCCAGTGCCTATATTTTACAGTTATTACTTCAAGTCATCAAAGCAGGCCTCAAAGGTAAATATTACCTTCATTTCACACACACACACACACACACACACACACAAAGAAAAGTAAATAATTTGCCTAGGTTCTCACTGCTAGTGGCAAAGCATGGATTCAAATCTAAATTTTTGTATCCAAGTCCTACTTTCTTTTTACTCTAGCTTTATCCACTTCAAAATGTGGTTGCAAGCATTTATCTAAGAGCTGGTGGGACCAGTCTTAAACTGCTTGCAGGACATGTTCAAAGACTAGACCTTTTATTTATTTGCTGACTTAAATGAATTAAAAGACTCAAAACCAGCCCTGGCCGGTTTGGCTCGACAGTTAGAGCACCAGCCCACCAACCAAAGACTCTTGAGTTTGATTCTGCTGAAGGGCATGCGGTTTGGTCCCGGGTCCTGGTCGGATCATGTGGGAGGCAACCAATCAATGTGTCTTTCTCACATTGATGTTCTCCCTCCCTCCCTCCCACTCTATCTAAAGATGGATGGAAAAATATCCTCAGGTAAGGATTTAAAAAAAGACTTCCGGTCAAGATGGTGGCGTGGGTAACCGCGGTATCTCGTCCTCCCACAACCACATCAAAGTTACAACTAAACTACAGAACAACCATCATTCAAAACCACCTGAAATCACACTGAAAGGAAGTCCTACAACTACGGAATTAAAGCAGCAGCCGCATCCAGACTGGTAGGAGGGGCGGAGGGGACGGGCTGGTCCCACACCCACGTGTGGCGGATAAAAATCAGGAGGACACCTCGGCTGGGAAGGTCCTTCCTGAGGACTGAGGGGTCCCCGTCCCACACCAGGTGCCCTGCTCATGGTTCCAGTGCCAGGAAGAGAAGTCCCCATAACTTCTGGCTGGAAAAACCAGCAGGAACTGAGGCTCAGGGAGGCTGAGGCGGCTGGAGCCCCAGGCAGCTCCTTAAAGGGCCCGCGAGCAAACTTATCAGACTCTCTCCCTCTAAGCTTGGAGGGGAGGCAGCTCGAGGGGCACGAGAGTCATACAGGGAAGAACTGAGCTGTTTGGCACTGGAGCGAGGGCTGGAGAGGGGGCTTTCTCCGGGACAAACGCGCTTTGAGAGGCCTTTGTTCATTTGGTGAGCCCTTCCCTGGGGCGGCAGACAGTAGCCAGATCTGGGACTCCAGCAACCTGGCTCACACTGGTAGCCCCGCCCTGGTGACTCCCTGAGGCCCCGCCCCACCCAACTTTCAGGCCCACCCAAGCTGTTGCCAGTTGCTTAACCATAGGATTGGCCTGTCTTGGATCCTGCTTCAGGTTTTCCTAAATTCTTTCAAACAAGCAGTATCTGGTCTCAGCGAGCCCCATACTGCTGGTTAAGTAATACACAGAAACAAACACAGGGAGGCAGCCAAAATGAGGAGACAAAGAAACAGGTCCCAAATGAAAGAACAGAACAAAACCCTAAGAAAAGAACTAAGCGAAATGGAGATAAGCAACCTAACAGATGCTGAGTTCAAAATACTGCTTATAAGAATGCTTAATGAACTCAGAACCTCAGTGAACTTAGTGAGGGCATCAAGAGCATAAAAAAGGACCAGTCAGAAATTATGGGTGCACAGTCAAAATTGAAGGGGGCATTAACTGAAATAAAGAATAATTTACACAGCTTCAATACTAGAGTAGGTAAATACAAGAAGCAAACCATCGATTTGGAATATAAGGAAGCAAAAACCACCCAATCAGAACAGCAAAAAGAAAACAGAATCCAAAAAAATGAGGCTAGTGTAAGGAGCCTCTGGGCAACTTCAAGCGTGCCAACATTCGCATCTTGGGGGTGCCAGAAGGAGAAGAGCGAGAACAAGAAGTTGAAAACCTGTTTGAAACAATAATGGCAGAAAACTTTTCTAACTTGGTGAAGGAAACAGACATCCAAGTCCAGGAAGCACAGAGAGTCCCAAACAAGATGAACCCCAAGAGGCCCACACCAAGACACATCATCATCAAAATGCAAAAGGTTCAAGACAAAGACAGAATCTTAAAAGCAGCAAGAGAAAGGCAGCTAGTTACCTACAAGGGAGTTCCCATAAGGCTGTCAGCTGATTTCTCAAAATAAACTTTGCAGGCCAGAAGGGAGTGTCAAGAAATATTCAGAGTGATGAAAAGCAAGAACCTACAACCAAGATTACTCTATCCTGCAAAGCTGTCATTTAGAATCGATGGCCCTATAAAGACTTTCCCAGACAAGAAAAAGTTAAAGGAGTTCATTACCACCAAACCGTTATTAAATGAAATGATGAAGTGTCTTTTTGAAGACAAAGATAAAATATATGAACAAACAAAATGGCAATGAATACATATCTATCAACAATGGAATCTACAAACAAAATGAACAGGTAGATACAGAAAACATTTTGTTGGTTGCCAGGTGGGAGGGTGGTTGGGGGAATGGGTGAAAAAGGTGAAGGGATTAAGAAGTACAAATTCATTGCCAGACTGACAAACCTCAAAGGGAAAGGGGCTGTGGGGGGGTGGGAAGAAATAAACCAAAGAACTTATATGCATAAGCAATGGACACAGACAACAGTGTGGGAAAAGGCGGGAGGGGGGAGTCAATGGGGGAAAAATGAGGAACATCTGTAATACATTCTACATTCAACAATAAAGATTTAAAAAAATAAGTAAATAAATAAAGGATTTAAAAAACAAACAAACAAAAAAAGACTCAAAACCAAATTGAATGAAGTGAGGAATAATCAGAAACGTTCACTATTACACCTATGCATGTCTTGGGTTACTGGTGTCACACCAGGCCCAGACCCTCGTCAGCTATTCCCTGCTAATGGAGTCCCGACCCTCTCAGGGCAAGTGTGAGGCAGCAGCACACAACTGCTCTGTGCTCAATACTGGCCTGAGTGGTGAAGCTTCTTGCTCATAACAACAATCATGTCCCTTTTCCCAAGCCACAGGGAATAACTTGCTCAGTTAAGATTCTCTTTCATACATGACCAGACAATGTGACTATCCATGGGCAGCAAAAGTTTACACAAAAGTCCGAAATGTCACAGCACGTTTCTGAAAGGTTTTTCAGCTCACCAGTGTGCTACGGCATGGAGGTTTGAGAACCACTGGTCTAGGCAACTCTGAAGACATAGCCAACAACGCCAGGGCACTGAAGTGACCATCAGCTGCACTTGTCAATTCTACAGTCCTGAGAGCCATCTAGGTCCCTCCATCAGCTTGCTCAAGCCAAAATTCTTCACCAAGGCCATTTCACGATGACATACCCCTTGTCTGACGGCGATGGCACTCCTCTTTCCTAAGAGTGGGTAATACCAGTCAGTTACACGGTCATACAGTAAATGCTTTGCACATGACCAGCTGGTGAAGCTCAGTGGATTGAGCATCATCCCATGGACTGAGAGGTCCTGGTTTAATTCCCTGTCAAGGCACATGCCCAGGGTTTTGGGCTCCATCCCCAGCAGGGGGTGTACAGGAGGCAGCCAATCAATGTTTCTCTCTCACAACGATGTTTCTATCTCTCTCTCCCTTCCTCTAAAAAAAAAAAAAAAAAAATCAATAAAATACTTTTAAAAAATTTAAAAATAGCCCTGGCTGGTTTGACTCAGCAGTTAGAGCGTCAGCCCATGGACCAATGAGTCACAGGTTTGATTTGGGTCAAGGGGAGGCAACTAGTGAGTGTGTCTCTCTCACATTGATGCCCCCCCCCCCACTCTATCTAAATATAAACAAAATAATAGGCGAGAATTTAAAAATAAAAATTAAAAAAATAAAAACAAAATAAATGCTTTGCACATAAACACGCTTATTAATGCTGAATTTCATTCCTTCCATCCTTTCACCATTTCCTCCTTCATAGCAATCCTCTCCTCTTTTTGTTTCTGCTGCTACTACCCTAGTCCAGGTCTTCATAATTTCACCATTCAATAACTTTTTAACTAACTAGTCTCTTGTCTATATAGTCCATTCTATACAAACTAATCTTTAAGATAGCTTTCATCATGTCAAACTCTGCTCAGATTCTTTCGATGACTCTTCAGTGTGAACTGAACCAATTTTTAACACTTCTTCCTAACTTTTAAAGCCTAATTAGTATCCTCCCTATTTATTTATCCATTCTTATTTCCTATTCAAATGGACACCAAAGAACCAAATCAACCTCTAATTAAACACAAATCAGATGAAGTCAACCCTTCTGCTTCCTAACACTGCCTTTATCAGCTTGGTCTTTGATGGTATCAACACGTCATCCTCACATTAAAAAAATTCTTTTTAAATATATTTTTATTGTTTTGTTTTGTTTTGTTTTAAGAGAGAGAGGAAAGGATAGAAACATCGATGTGAGAGAGAAACATCGATTGGCTGCCTCCTGCGCATCCCCCTCTGGGGATCGAGCCCACAACCTGGGCATGTGCCCTGACCAGGAATCAAACTGGGACCTCTCGGTCCATGGGATGATGCTCAATACACTGAACCATACAGGCTGGGCATGTCACTCCCACATTAAAGACCTTCATTGGTTCCCCATTGCTTCTGTAACTAAGGTCAAACTCTTTTAACAAGACATTCAAATTTCTCCATGATCTGGCCCCCAAGAACAGCCACATGCATCCTGCTCTCTGCCTCTCCCAGCAGAGATCAACCTAGCCTTCCCTGTATCTACCTGTGCCCTAGTGTTTACCTTGGATCCAAATCCACATTATCTCTACCTATTAACATCCTTCCCATCTTTCAAGGTTCTGCTTCTACTTCAAGATCCTTCCTTGATCTTACTTCTGAGAATTAGAAGGATCTCTCTGGTCTGCGTTTCCACAAAACTTTCTTTATATTGCTTCTCAGACTCTGTCCTGTGTGTTAGCTCCACTGGTCCACTTATCTTTGTACTTTTAGATCAGGGGCCTCTTAGGAGCTTCTGACTTGATCTTTACATCAATACTAACAACCTGTAGCACAGTAACCTTTCCTGAAATACCTGTTACAATAAATACCAATAAATGGACTGTGTATCATTGGCAAAAGCCATCCAATACTGTACCTGGTAGATGTGGTAAGAAAAAACATAAGCAAAAGGACAAAATTCGGATGACCATAAAGTAGAAACTAAAAAAATGGAAGCTGCTGACAGCACTTAATATATTCCTACTTACATAAACCATAGTCATTTTCTCAGTCAACCTGAACATGCTCTACTCATTCCTGTTACCATGTATTCTGCTCACAATGCCCCCTCCCCATATTTGCTCACCCCTTTCTTCACAACCACAACAAGCCTTCTCTGGAATGACGTAAATACATTCACACTCAGACCACAATGTCTGTTCTCTAGAAAGCAGAGCTAAGCCCGTTGCTCTCAACCATGGTAGAATCAGCTGTACCAATAAATGTCTCTCCACTAAAACAGTCAAACAGATTTTACACTCAGTCTCAAAGGCTTGTTGTTGTTTTAATTGTGGTAAAATATACATAACACAAAAATTTATCATCTTAATCATTTTTACATGTACAGTTCAGTAGTGTATAACCAATCTATAGAACTCTTTTGCCTTGCAAAACTGCAACTCCTTACCCATTAAACAACTCCATTTCCCTCCCTTATTCCCTGCCCCTGGCAACCACCATTCTACTTTCCGACTCTATAAATTTAACTACTCTGGATTTCTCACGTGAGTGGAATCACACAGTATTTGTCTTTCTGTATCTAATTTATTTCACTTAGCGTACTATCATCAAGGTTTATCCATGTTGTAGCATGTTAGAATTTCCTTCCTTTTCAAGGCTTAATATTCCATTTTATGTATGGACTACAATTTTTATTCATTCATCTGTCAATAGACAATGAGTTGCTTCCATGTTTTAGCTGCTATGAGTAATGCCACTTTGACCATGGGTGTACAACAGAAGAGTGTGTTGTGAGAGCACTCAAAAACCATTCTGGAGGGGGAACTGTGGGAAGGGAGGACAAAGGTACAAAGGGAAATAACTCTTCTGAAACCAAGAGACAAGTGCATACTTACAAATACTGATGAAGATAGGTTTATAGGTATAAAGATGCCATGGACCAGGAATTACTTATGAAATTAATGCTTAATACTAACATAAACTCATTCATATTTTTTAACTCCTGGTTTGGACTGAATATCAATGAATTTAAGAGTAACGCCTATGCACATGTACACACACACACACACATACACACACACACACACACACACGTTGGCCTCCCCAGCACTGCTGAGATAATCACTAATCATTCTCAAATCCCTACTACTGTTCGCCCTGGAACATTATTAGACAAGGTGTCCTTGAGGAAAGCAGTTCCTTTAGCAATGGCACATGTAATGATCAATCTGGGGTTCATATTTTCCATCGGGAAACAGTACTGTCTCTCTCCCTCTTCCTCCACAGTCCTAGCCTCTCCCACGAACTTGAACACGCTCTCATTCTCACTCCCAGATCTAGCTGTAGGATGAGTGGGTAGAATTCATTCTTGAGACAGGAAAGTTTCTACTGTAGAATGAGGATTTGTGAATGACTACTCACAAAGCTGGATCAGGGCCACCTTACATACTTTTTGTGTTACCTTAACTTCTACAGAACTAAATAATACACCTAATACTTCACATAAAACAATCACATACAGAAGTGGTTATTCAACCCACCAAGCTTTTCTAAACGATCCGCCTGTTTTAACAAACTAATAAAATTTAAATTAAGTTCTTTGTAGTTTTAAAATTCAAAATATCTGAATCTTAAAAATTTAACCACATTAATGCCACCAATTTCAGGATTTTGAAAATCAATGTAATAGTAGGCAAAACCAAACAAAAACCCTAAAACCATTCCTTGGGGCTTATAAAAATGCAGTGTTCTTACTAATTAGTTTTTGTAAGCTGAGTTGAAAGACTTTTCAGAAAACTCAAAATAATTCTATACTTTATTTCCTTTAAAATTTTTTGGCTTTAAAAAAATTTTAATGGTATAACATTTTATTTTTTATTTTAATTGAAGTACAATTAACAAACAATATTGTATTAGTTTCAGGTGTCCAACATAGTGATTCAACATTTATATACCTTACCATGTGATCACCACAATTAAGTCTAGTGACCATTTATCACTATACAAGTAATTACCATATTGTTCACTGTCTTCTCTATGCTACACATTACATTCCTGTGGCTTGTTTATTTTTATAACTGAAAGTTTGTCCTCTTAGGCCCTCTTTCACCTTTTACATCCCATCCCTCCACTCCCTCCCTTCCCCTTAAAGTTTAAAACTTGCAAATACTGCTTTGTGTTTTTCCTAATGTTTATACCAATTCAAATAAAATTACTTTCATGTTCAGATATTTTAATGCTTAATACTGCATTATCATTACTTGAAGGAAACTCAAATAAATTAGCTTCTCTGATTTACATCTACAAATATATTTTTTATTTGATCATCCTAATACTAAGCTAATGTGATTGCCACAGATTCTCAAATGCTGAATTACTGCCAATCTTCTAACATTCTGGAATGCATTAGATACTGCAGGTGGCCAGAACACACGTTCTGATACTAATACATTATTATTTCATTCTAGTTTTTTTTTTTTTAAATACAGATTTCTCTATAGGGCACAACTCACATAAGCGCGCGCACATACACACACATTACATAGTTAAAAATCTCTTCTAAATATTTTTAGCTAAGCAGCAAAATTTCTGTGAGGTAGATTCCCTATGCAACACATTTACTATTTAACACATAAAATATAAGTAAGGGGGAGCAGAATCCGGGGAGGAGGGGCCGGGGAGGGGGGGAGAAACATCTGTAACAAAAATAAAGTAATAAAAATTGAAAAAAAATATATGAGGTCACTAAATAAAGTACATGAAGATAGTATTTCAGAAATAACAGCCTATAAGCCAATAACCATTAACTTATATTTTACTTCACCACAGGCACTAAGCAGAGAAGATAAATATTTAATATCCTCCTATAGTCAGTAAATTTGAATGACTTCAACAGTCACTGCAAATACATTTAAATGTGTTAAAGGAAATGCCTATACTTACAAGCCTAAAGGTTAGTAAACAATTTTCAAGGGACAAAGTCACTAGTAGGATCGAAGTTCATTCAGTGCCTAAGATCAAATATTTCTTTCAAAGTTAGGTTTTTATAAATGAAATCAGTGCAAAATTTCTACTTATGTCCTTTCTGGTCCTTAAGGTTGATCCTGTCATATATAAGATCCTTCTTAGAATGTCGAAAATGACCAAAACAATGGGTGAACCTTTCCATACTATTACCAT